GATTTATATGCAGCAGGCTGCTGCCATGTGGTCATTGTTTTTGTGGCAGACTCATTACTTGATGACAAAATTCAGGCCATTGCCAGGTGCTCAAGGCAACCTTTTGCTGCGGTTCTTGTAATAGAGCTCTGAGAACAGCCATACAGCTTGAGTTGCAGATAATAAATCAATTTTTTAGATATTTTGTTAGGGGGGAGTAAATTGAAAGCTCATTTAAAGATTCTTCATCTAGAAAATGAGTTGTCACAATAGGGAATAAGTTAGTGGCAATGGAAAAGAATTGTCTTAAATTGTAAAATTCTGTAATCTAGACTCCAAACGAGAGAGGTTTACATGGTGTTGTCACTGCTGACTGACCAGTTTCATTACATCATAACCAACAGTGAAGCTGTTTGAATTACTCAGCAGATTAAGATGTCTTAAACTGACTATGAGTCAAACTACCTAAGTGGAGATTAATTTGTAAATGATCTTGTGTTTATATGTACATTGGAGAGGGATCTCTTTCTCTGACCGGTTTTCATCATCTCTCTGAAAGCCTTGGTCAACACAGAGACTACACAAACATGCACACGTAGGTGCAGTTTCCCACAGACAGCAAAGCCTGAGTAAGTGCCTGGGTGTTGTTTTCATGTTGACTTACTGGGGAGCTGTCTTTTTTTGTTTTGTTGGTACACTGTATATAGGTACTGTATGTCTTCTGTTGCCATACAGCTTAAATGTAAAGAATTGACAAAAAAATGTTGTGTGTGTTGTGTAAATTGTAGCTGAACGGGTTGGCTGCTTTGTTTACTCTGTGAGTGTACAAACCTGCAGTTTGAATCTTGAGATCTATTTTGAAGTCATCAGGCTTTGAAGTGATTTGTAATAATGTATAGAGAATAATATGTGTTTATAAAAGTAACTGGCAGTTGAATATCAGTATTTTTTACCCAAAGGCATGCTGACGTTAGATGAATAAATGGGGGCTGGGGTGACAGGGCCAGATTTCAGTTGTCTTCTAGAATGCATTATTGGATTTTCTGGTTATTGCTTTTAAATCTTGCCAGTGCTTTTGCTTTTTATTAAAACTTGTGGTATGTATTACATAACTAGTTCTGGGTTTGTGCTTTTAAAATTTAACTGTGCCTGGGTTATGAGCATCACAAAAGCTCACTTGAATAAATGAACAGAACTCACTCTAAGCAAATCCAAAATCAATAGGGCGTTGTTTAGCAAATATGTGCAAACCAAAAGGCAAAACAAGAATAAAATCTGCCTTTTAGAAGACATCAGAATAATGTTCTATGCTATCTTAATAACAAGCATCTATTAAATACTGAAAGGATGCTGTTAAATTTTGATGGCATTGATGCTTTGTCTATTAAGAAACAGAGAAAACAAAAGGGGAGGGGAATCTGGGAGCATTTTGAGAAGCTAAGAATTTAAGAAGAAATTTACCTTGTGTTCATTTAACAGATTTCTTTATTTCACTGTGTTGGAAAGTTTCATTACTTCAGTCAAGGTCCGAGTGAACCTGTTAATTCTTAATAAGGTTTTTATGTTGAATTTGGTCAGAGAAGGAAAACCAAAGCTGTCACACTGACAAAAATGCAGATTCTGAGAGGCAAACCTTTGTTACTAAGTTGTTTAGTCATGGTTGGGCATGCAGTGGTGTCTGAGGCTTGATGTCTTGAAACTGCTTTTTCCCTCCTGCTACAAAAAGAAGCATATATATATATTTCTTTCTAGGGAGATCAGCAGATAGACTAAATAAAAGCTGATGTGAGGTACAAGATGAGGAAGGTTTTTACAGTCAGTGAGACCATGGCACACACAAAGAATTGGGTACCTTGAGGTATCTTCTCTCGAGGAAGTCCATCTTTGTTGGGAAGGGAGCCTTCCCTGACAAGTGTTGTGGCTGATGAGATGGTTTCCATGGATCGGTGTGCAGTGAGCACAGGACGGGTGCAGGCAGGAGAGCAGAGTTTGGCCTGGTGGTGGAAGGTCCTTCAGAAACAGTTTACCCCACAGCAGGCTTTTCTTGGTTTTGGTTTGGCTTTCGGGGCTGCTGGGAGATGAGGTTTGTTTTCATGGGTGCATGTGGCCTTTCTCTGCACTCAGCTGGAGTGATTTGAGAGGATGGTCACATCTGGGAGATGTGTGTGATACAGACCTGCTTTTCTCCGGAATGGCTGAAACCTGGCACGGTGTAACTTTGCTTGGGGAGCGTAGAGATGATACTTCTGATCTGGAGTAGCTGTCGTTGGTATTTTGCTCTCCCCATTTTCTGTCTGGGTATGTAGCTTTTTCCTTTTCCTTTCCCTTTTTTATTTTTTTTCTTTTTTTTTTTTTTTAAATTAAGCTAATCAGATGCCATATGACTGGTGTTTTGAGTAACCTTGAATTTTCCGAGTAATTTTTTTCATAATGCAGCTTTCATTTGTGTACTGAGAAATACTGCTTTTTAGTGGCAAAAGTCATGCTGTAAATGTCAGTTGGAGAAGTGTGGTTGCAGGTTTGAAGTGGACAGTGTTCAGGTTTCCTTCCTCACTCTGTCAGGAACTAAATGGTTAAAACAGTGAGAGGTTTCCGGTTACCATATTTGCATCAGATGACTGCCTGTTTTTCTTTTAATGAAATGTGGCTAACTGAGTGGTTGGCATCTGCTGTGAGGAAGGGTGAATGGAAGAGGGAAATACCAACAATCAGTTTTGTGACTTTGCTTTGTAGCCCAGCTGTTTAACACAGTGCAGTAAAACTTGGCAATTTCAGCAACTCAGAATGATGCTGGCAGTTTCACATGGTTTTACTGCAGGAACAAAGTAGCTGCTGTTGTTCTGGTTGTTGCTGCTTGCAGTTCGCCTTCATCAGTGTAAAATGAGGTCCACAGAAACTGCTGTGAAAGTAATGATCTCTTTTGAAGGAATCACAAATGTTTGGGGTTAGTCCGGCTGCTTCCACAGCCCGACCAAGGACCAGACTGGGGGTGTGTAGAGCAGAATTCCAGAGCCTCGTGACCATGAAATTAGGTTACGTGGAAAACATGAATCTGCAGTTTGAATTTTACAACTGGGAGGAAAATTTTCAAAAAGCTCAACAGAGTAAAGTGCTCAAATTTGCGTGAAAGACTAAAGTAAAGTGAGTGCATAACCCAATTTTCATGCCTCTTACATTTTCTCCTTTTATATTTAATGTTGCTTTAAACTTTAAAGGCACCAGTCAATGAAAGAAGTCTGTGCCTTTCTAAAGATTTTAATACATAGAAGTAATTATATCTCTGTATTAATATATATTATAGTACCTAACACATATATACTAATATATTATTATAAGTAATTATAGTAATTACATTATTAATCATGTAAATACAAATTTTCTTGTCTGGAAATCTGGTGAAGGTCAGAATCCTGAAGGGCCCTGTTTACTTGAAGTTCAGATGTTATTCTGAGGATGCATGAGGAACTTGGGGAAGTAAAAACAAGTTATACCTGTTTCTTTGGTTTGAGAAGCTACTAGTTACAAGCTCAGGAGTATTCACTGGTCTTATTATAGGACCTGCCTTCTTGATTTGGATTCGTGGGTGACAGAAGCAGATGAAATATTTTAGGAAGTAGTCAAGAATGGAGAAGGGAGGCTGCTTGAGCTCAGTGCCTGCCGACTGATTATATTTTGTCCACCTTTCTAGGTGGTGGAGATTCATTGCTTCCTGAAGGGACAACCCATGCCTTCAGAGGCTTGAGACATACAAGGCTCATGGAGAGGGGGGAGTATGTTTAACTCCGTCAAGAGTAGCACTTCCACACCAGACATTAGATCAGTGGTCCTGCTCTGCTTGAGAATTGTAGTCTCATGAAGAGAAGGATTGGTGAGGCAGGAAATATCCTTAGCTGAGCTGGCACTTGCTTTTGACTTCAGTTTGGCAGATGATATCCAGTTCTGCTAGTGTTTTTCAATAACCCTTCAGCCCGTGTGGCTACATCAGAGTAGTAACAGTGGGAGCACAAATGCCTTGGTCGAATGATAATTTGGACAAGAAACTTCCTCCAAACACATTGCTACTAACGCAGGCAGAACATCACATACTGCCACTTTTCTTTTGCTCCAGACCATCCCAGACAGCTTCAGATCCCATGTGAGGTTTTAAGAGAAAGTCTTCTGAGGTCTGGCATGCTTGCAGATTTCACAATGTCTTGAGGCTGAAACTTACCTTCCCATTTGTTTGATTTTACAGTCATCACTTTCCTGGTCTACAATGAGATTTTTCTTCAAATGGGATTTCTCACGAAGGCTCTTGATTACTGTGTGCAGTTTGGGGAGTTCCATTTGCATTACTTTCAGATGATGTTCTGTCAGAGTAGTTATGTTGTGTTTTATGTGTTGTTGCAATCGCTGTTTATGAAGTACACCTGCACTATGCTAGTGTTTATCTAGAAATTGAGAAGTAAATGGTGTAGTTCAGTGTAACCATAACATATGAAATAAATGTGTGCTGAGACATTTCCTTTGCGTTAGCATGAAATATCTCTCAGTTAAATATGCAAAAATATGCAGAGAGAACATGTGTAATTATGCTGTGCAAGGTTGAAGGAGTTAATATGGAGAACTTGTGTTGAAAGGATTCATGGCAAATAAGAGCAGACTTCAAGGAGTATGGCTTTGTGAAGGAGACTTTAAAATCTAGGTGGGACTTTGCCAAGATGTGTATGCAGCCAAAGAGAAATAGGAAAGTTTTTTCCAAATAATTTTCAGATAGTTGACTGAGTAGAGCTTTGCTTTGTAATGATGAGACATTACATTTCCACAAATGTACTGATGCTTGGGTTTAGCTTCCAGCTTGGTAATGGGTTGGGCAGATTCATAACGAAAGAAGTCTGTGCTGTAATGATGAATTATTGTTTTCTGCTGTGGCTTGGGTATTTTTGGGGGGGTTGTGTTTTGTTTCAGTTTATTTTTGGGTGGAATAATGGAGAAACAGCCATAAGACTGATTGCTGCCTGGATCTTTGTTGTGTCTCTCAGAGGTACGTGCATGGAGTCTTCCTGAGCACTTCATGGGATGGGAAGGTTCCCTCTTTCTGAGGCAGCAGCACCTGTGACAGGAGGCTGGTGAGTGGTTTCTGCCCTGAGAAGGGGTTACACTGCAGAGCCTTGCATGCTGCTGCTGCAGCTGTGCTCTGTCCTTCATTGCTGCTGCAGCTTTGTGGCTAGAGCTGCATTGTAGAACTATCAAAAAATGTAGGAAAAATTCTGATACAGGGTTGGGAAATCAGTTTTCTTGTAGCACCCCAGGCTTACAGCAGCTGATGTCCTGCCTGCCCCTTCAGTGCCCTGTCTCTTGCCTGAGACAGAGGTTGGTGGGATGGTGAGCTTCAGCTTGTCTGAGGTGAAAAGATAACCTGAAGAAAAAAGTAACCCAGTGCTTCCCTGAAGAACAGCAAATTACCTTAACCCCTGAGTAACACAGACCTCTGGAATGACTGAGTGAAATCCTGTGCCAAGCCTTGCCCACTGCTCTCATGTTCCCCATGCAGAAAACGGATCTCTCCTCATTTTGTTTCTAATGATTGCAAATCCCCCATGTCATCTTATTTCCAGTCTTTAATTACTCTCCCCTGTGAGAGTCTGCGCTTTTTATTGTTGATCATTAGTTTCTGGCTGCTGGATCTTTTCAGCACCTTAATAAACAAATGATCATGCTATTCCATATCACCTTCTCCTCTAAACATGATAAACTCTTTAAGTTGCTTCCATATTGGAGTTTTTTTCCCCCTAAGTAAATGGGTTACTGTTAGAAATGATGTCTGTGTACAAAGAGGTGTATAAATAAATGTCTGTAATTTCTAGTGTTTAAATTCCAGAATATAGTTTTGAAAAAGCGAAAGCTTCAAATACTGTAAAATGAGATTATAGGAAAAATGACTGAGCAAAATCAGTAATAAATCTTGCTAGGTTTTTTTTCAGTTGATTTGCTAAATGTTTTAATTACAATGCTAAGTAATCCACCACCTAAAAGCACGATCCTTGAACAATCAACCTGATTATTTGATTTTAAGTAAATAAATAATTTTGCTGCTGTTACTTTTCTGTGAGAGGGTTGGAGAGGAAGATGAGTGGTTATGCTATTGAATGTACTAGTTAAATATACTAGGCTATTTACACTGTAACTAATATTAATGTTGATTAACTCTGGGAATGAATTTGTTTTTACTTAGTGTGAAGAGACAGCTATAATAGTTGCATGCTATATTATACATGAAAACAGTTTTTAAGTACAGGTAGAGTAGGAATTTTTGAACCAGCAAGTGCAGTAAAACTACCCTCCTTGTTCAAGTAGTTGTATGTTGGTAAGTGTATGTTAACTGTTAACTTGAGCTGTGTGGTCTGCTGCCTCTCCTCCTCGTGAAAATAAAAGTAACATGTACCTTCAGCAAACTCAGCCTATGTCTGCTTAAAGTCCTGCTTTTGCTAGCAAAAGGAAGGGGAGTGTTTTAAATAAAAAAAACCCCAGTCCCCCAGGGGAACAGGAGAGGCTGGGGCAGCGTGCTCTGCTTGACAGTGTCTGTGATAGTTGGAGTCAGGATTTGGGTCCCCAGAGATACAAGGAGGGGCAAAAGCTGCTTGGTGCATTGCCTACAGGTACACTTTGGCAGTGAAATAGACTCAGCAGCCAGAGTCCTAATTCAGTTTTTCTGTGTTATTTATTTTAGTACAGGGAACAGTTGCTCTGTTTCTGATTGCCTTTCTCTTTTTTTTTTTTTTTTTTAATCTTACCATTAAGTCTTTCTGAACCTGGGACTAACCCTGGTAAGTTCTTGAAAAGCTTTGTAGAGAAATATGTATAAAATCAGTTTAGGAGGAGGAAACCATTGCAAGCAGTTGCGTGAAACTGCTCATGCAGATGACACTGACTTGCAATGGAAACGTGCCCTCCTGTATTTATACCCTTAACTTCACGATGTTGATGTGCTTCAGTGGTGATTGTCAAGAGATGTACATGTGCATCTCAAGTGTGCCCCTTCACAGTAGCTTTTTGTGACATACAGCCTGGTTTTTTTTGGTGCAATTTACTTTGGCGTTTTCTCGAGTAGGTTTTTCTGTTGAAAAGGGTATTTCAGATATCCTACAGTAAGGTTTACAAAAGAGTTGCATTTAATTGCTCAGGCTGAAGTGCTCACCCCTCCCCACTTGCACACACTCTGCCCGTGAAACATGTTAATCCCCTCCTGCCCTCCCCCCATTGAAGAAGCCTGATACATTTCCTTTTGCATTAGTTAGGCCTTCTGGGAAATACATGCAGAAATAAAAGGCTTTTCTATAGCCCTTTCTCCCTCAGGAATGCATAGAAACCAGCTCCTTGGATCTGGTCCACAAACTTGAAACTTGATTTTGGTAGAGACTGGGGGGGAAGGGAAGGAAATCTATAATCCTGTGCACATGTGACTGAGAGAATCCTAATTACGTACTGAGGTAAAGGTATAGGAGCTCCTAAGATCTCACAGTACTTTGTAAATAAGGAACATGTTTTTTGTTTGGTTTTTTTTTTTTTTAAGCCTCTGCATTGTACTGAAGTTGTCACCAAAGCAGGTATTTAAAACTCCTTTGTGACCTGTTTGTCTTTCATCTTCCTGAGAAGTGTGTACCCAGACAGTCTACAAAAAGGGGCTTATTTTGTTTACAAACAGTACTCAGGTATGGTGATGGTTTCTCAGCTACCAGCAATACCTTGGACATTTTACCTTAACTATAGCAAGAAGTGGGCCCTTTCCCTTGGGGTAACTATTTATGCATACTAGTTAGACATGCATGAAAACCCATGGGAAAAGGTGCTGCAGGTTTTTACAGTGGTATTGCTGTATCAATAGTTGATATCTGTAATGTACCACAGGCAGAAAGGCCAGGCTGAACTTGGTGTAGTCTTTACCCCTCAGTGTGTTGGGATGTATAGGAATGCCCTGCAACTTGGAGTGGGCTGGCCGTCATGTTACAAAGGACCCAGAGCTTTCAGCTGCCGGTGTATCTCAGTGGCTTTTGGGGCACACAGGTGCTACAACTTTACGAGAAAGACCTAGGGAGGAGCCAACCTGGGGTTAGCTGTGGTGGTACAGTGGTGCTGCCAGGGTAGGGAGAGTGTAAAGTGGTGTGATGGCCTGGGCACATGGTCACTCCATGTCACTGAGCATGTCATGGTGTCCATGCTGTCCTCCTCCTGACTAAAAGAGGTGTCAGTGTGACTTGAGGCATGTGAAATGTGAATACAAGCCCTTACTGGCAGGACAGTGTGGTTGTTCCCAACATATGCTTGTCTGTGGGTTCATCGTTACTATGGGCAAAACCAGAGCTGCCTCTTTCTCCTCTGTGATTATATTTATTGTTTGAATGTAGCTCGAGAATTGCACAATAAAACTCCTATTGTGAATACATATGCAAATATCCGATGTCACCGCCTGCTCATTAACTCAAATGCAGCAGCATTAGGGGTGTTCTGGTGTTCTACGTGTTTCAGGTGGTCATGGCGTTCATGGAAGCTTGTGCCTCTCGGTGTGGGTTTATCACTGCCTCTGTGTGTGCCAGAAAAGCCAGCCTAAGACACTTCTGCCAACTCCCACTCCTCCTTGCTCCCATGCAGCCTCTTCAGAAGTGGCAGTGCTTAGAGGCCTGATGCTGCACCACATCAGTGCTGCTTGCTGGCGGTGTGGCCCCACCAGGGACAAAGCAGCACCGCTGTGGGGCCAAGAGCTGCTTCAGCTGGTTTTGCCAGCAAGAGGAGTGTCGGTGAAACCGTGGTGTGATCTGTGCTGTGGTGAGCTGGAGCATGAAAATGGGCATCAACAAATTAGGGGTGAATCTGACTTGACCGAAGCGACAGTTTCTTCCAGCTGATAAAAATATTTCATAAATGTTGGCTTTCTTTCACTTATTATCTAGTGTGGAATTGTAGGTCATGTTCCTTGGCAGCCACCAAAGGAGGGAATTATTTTAATTCCACGCCTCTCCCTGAAGCAAGAGATTACGATCTCTGTGATGATGAGTTGTCAGGTTATCTGTTCCCCCACGTTTTAGAATGGGACTGCAGAGGATGGGGTGTCAGAGACCTGTTGCACAATGTCCTTTTCCTTTTGATGCCGACTCTTCACCTCACATTTCAGTGATCTCTGCTCCCTAACTTGTGCTATGGCTTGGTTTAATAACTGCATCCGTCACCCTGATGTCTCCAGCTGGCTGTTTCTTAGAGCAAGATGTATATTTTTGTTTTCTCTCTGATTTTATTTTCAGGTTAGCAGTTGATCCTGTTTGTGCAGGATTTTCACCATCTTGTTTACTCTCAATAGAGGTGGCATTTCGTTCTGTGGGATGTCTTGGGTTAAGCCCAGACTTTCAGTGTAGAGGGAGGGCTCTCCCTAAAGAAACCAGAGGTGGTGTAATCTGGCCTGTAGGCTTTTGGGTACACTTTGCAAGGCTGACCTGCTCACTGAGATTGATTGCTGATGGATTGGGGGTTGTTTTCTGCATTTTTGTTATTGTCAGTTGTTGGTGCTTTTTCATGGCTTGCATTCTGCTGCTTAAGTAGTTTCCCTAAGATTTAATATGCTACTTCCAACCTATATTTTTTAATTATGTTCAGCAAGTTGCTGATTTTAATATGGAATAGTCATTCAGTAATGACTTTGCAGGCAGTAGGTGGTGGTTTGCTACAAAACTGTTTTGCTTTAGCTCACCCATATGTGGCAGTTGCATTGGAGTTTGTTGGTCCAGTTGGCTTAATGCCAGGCTACTTATTAGGTAAGAAGGCTGAAAGCAGAAGTTTTTGTTTAATTTGAAAACTGTCCATTTTCTGTAGATTGAAACACTTTTCATAGTGTCACATAGTACATAAGCATAGCATGTGGGTAATCTTTTTTGGGAGTACTGCTTGCTTCTGGACGGTGGAAAAATTCTGAAAAAAAGTGTGTTGGAAAACACAGCTGTTTAATGACAGGGGTCTTAATTTACTCCTTGATTTAATGTTTTAATTTTTAAGTACGCAGATATCTTTCTGTTTCAAAACTTGCATCATAGTGACAGTATGGTGTGCAGCTTCTTTTTAATCATCTTCCTGGAAGAATGGT